ACAACTGTTTATAACTTGCATAGTTCACATTTCTGTATAACTGTATATCTCAGATTTCTGTATAGTTTTTTGTTTTCATATTTATATCCTGTTCATAGCCTGTACATAGCTTGTACTCACTACAGCCTGTACATACTTATAGTTATAGCATATTCATAACATACTTCATACCGTGTACATTATAACATACCATAATAGGCCCATTTCTGTAATATACTCACATATCTATATTATTGCTAATATATATTGTAACATATCTATATCACTAAAGCACTTCTGGATGGATGCAAACTGCATTTCGTTGCCCTGTACCTGTGACATGTGCAATGACAATAAAGTTGAATTCTATTCTATCCTATTCTATTCTATAATTATTAATGCTCAGAAGATTAATGAACACCACATTTTTAAATGGTTTGACTAATGTAGTGAGATAATCATATTATTTAGAATAATCATTTTTATTCTCAATAATACTAAAAAAATATAAACGAGGTCTTAAGAAACCTGTGAAACTGTGGTGATTTATAATTAATAGGATTTTTTTAACCTTTCAGAACCAAAAACCTTTTTTTTAATATTATTAGTAACTGCTCGATATAATATTTAGAAATAAATCATAAATAGCATAATAGCACAATGTTTATGATATTATGTCTGTATTCCTGAAATTTTTGTAGATTTCTGAGGATACTTTAATAAACCATGTCTGCTCAGTGTTTCCTACGTACCAGCTGAATAAATCATGGTGGAGACACTCTTGTTAAGATGAGGGTGACTTTAATGTTTCTGAATAATTCAAAGAAGCAATCCAGTGCTCTGTCAACAACATTACTCCATTGCAGGAGGAGGAGTTATGAAAGAGGCGGATGGAAATGTAACAGAAGAAAAAAGGGATGAGAAAGATTTGGCTCCCAAAAGGACAACATCACTGAGATGCCAGAAAAGAAAAGGAAAAGAGAATTAACATGAAATACAAAAAAATATTATTTTAATAACGGAGACTAAACAAGCACATGCTGTTTCGCCCCCTATCAGTACAGACCAGCTACTGCAATAAAAAAGGACTACTGACAAAAGTGCAGCGACCTGGAAAAAGAGGAAGGAAAGGCAAGGAAGAGAAGAAAAGAGAGAAAAAGACAAGTAAAAAGAAATTAAATTAAATTAAATGAAAGTAACAAAAGAAAAAGAAAGCAGGAACGTAAAATTATGAATAAAACAACAAACAAGTAGAAAAAGATCAGAAGGCAAAATGAAAATAAAAAACAGAACAAGAAGGCACAAATAAAGAGAAATAAAATAAAATAAAAAGGTAAAATGAGAGGAAAGGAAAGCACATCCAGAAAAGAAAAGAAAAAAGAAAATAACGACAAAAGAAAGGTAAAGGATGACGTGAAAGCAAAAAAAGAGGACATAACCAAAATTATAACCATAGAAGGCAAATGAGAAAAGAGAAACAAGGGGAAAAGAAAGTGCATGTAATCAGAAAGGAAAGGAAAGGAAAGGAAAGGAAAGGAAAGGAAAGGAAAGGGGGAAGCCCAGATGATATAAAACGGAAAGGAGTAAGGAAAAGATACAACAATCTGCCGGAAACAATTTAGTGGCTCACTCGAGGCAGTCTGGGATCCCGGCTGCCTGAGTGCTTTGTCAAAAAGAAAGTGGATGAAATATTCAGCAGCAGCAGAGCTGCTGTCCTCTCTGCTCCACATCAATAACCACTGGCTGCTTGAATATGAAACACTGGAAGAAGCACACAAAATGGAGCACCACTGACTCCTGCTCTTACTGCTGTTTAATGAAACTGTAATAAATTTTTAAACCTGTACTGATATTGTTGGAAAACTAGCAGTGGGAGTGGTAAAAGTCATAGCAAAACGGTAGAAGTACGATGTGAGAGTGAGCAGCAGTAAGAAATACATGTAGCAATGTTAGTGTACATGCAAGTGATTTTAGTAGCTAATATAATGTTACCTTTCACCTCCAGGAGTTCCCTACTGTTTTTAATCATTATGCTAAGATGGTCAGCTTTCAGCTCTGTAAATGATGATCGAATGACAGATCCACGTTTAGTTGAGGTATCCATAAACTGTGCATTTACTCTCCATTTTGGTCTTGCTCCAGGTACAAGATCCCTATTTCTAACACTCACAAAAAGCAAGACCCTTACTTGATATACATTTAATCATTGGGTGCTTCAAGGTTAGCTCCTTGTGTATCTCTGGAGCTCTTCTAGCTCTGATGAAGTTTCAACATTTGTCCTTGGAGAGTGGTCAGAGTAGGACTTCTGTAGAACAATCTAAATACATTAGCTTTTGTCAAAGTGATTCAGAGGTGGACAAGAAGATGACTGTGATGGGAAGAACACAAGATCTGATTGGGTTATTCTGAGTGATAGTTGCACAAGGTGTAAGATGACATGGGGTGATATGAATAGGAAAGTGCAGTAAACAAATGTGCTGTGCATACATTGCAGACTTCTCCATTTAAGAGCATTTCTGTTGTAGAGTCATATCTCAGAAGGGTTTGATGTTTCTAGACTGCTCTCAGTCTGCCACAGCGGACGCCTTCCTGCAGCAACTCAGAATCCTTCCTGTCCTCTTCTTCCGCTTCTTCATCTTTAACCCTTTGAGGCTACTGTCAGAGCAGATGGACTTCCTCAGACTCCTGATGTGTTTTTCCTGCTCCTGAATCTTTGACTCCAAGTGGGACTGGATTGCTGTGCCCAGAGATTCCAAGTCCACAGAGGCGCCATACACCTCCCATGTCATCCCTTGCTCATCCCATGCTACGTCCTGTGGCTTTTCTGTCTCCTCCTTATCCCCATTTTCTTCCACCTCCTTCTGCACCATCTTTGCCTCCTCCTGCTCCCCATATTTCCACATGCTATCAGTGCTAACATCTCTGTCTTGGTTTTGTCCTAGTTGTTGCCCCAACATGAGAGAAGGGCTTTTCTGAAAGCTGTATGTACGCAAACAGGCAGGCAGGGAGTTTGCCTTGTTTGTCACAGCTGACGGAAGTAATGACTGGCTACGCAACTCAATGTCAATCTTGCAGATATGCTGGACAGGTTTCTGAGTAGCTGGGACACAGCAAAGGGATGGAACTGTTGGCAAAATCAAACTACCTGACTGACAGCTAGGTGAGCCAATGAGAGAGGAGGTGATACCTCCCTGGTAGAAGCTGGGACTGGTGGATGCTGACCGTTCCACAACCTCCACCTCCACTTGGACAGCAACTTCTCTTTGCCCTCCTGCCAATGGATAAAGGCTCTCCCTTGGGTCAGTCATGGTCGCCATATCTCTGACCTTCTTGTGGTTTGCTGTAATGGTGGAAACGGGATAAAGAGAACTACCCTGATCCAGTCTCTGTCTCCCCCTCTCTTGTTTTTTTTTCTCTGTTATTTTTCTCTCCACACTCTCTGTCCTCGATGAAGAGGTGTTGCTACCAGCAATTGTGGCATTTGGCTCTCCCAAGTGGCCAGTTTTACTCAGCAGACCCTCTGGTATTCTCGCAGCACCTCCTGTTGACTGTGCTGCATTGTCAGTCACAGCCCCCTGGGATTCTGATGTTCCTCCTACAGCTGCTGCTTTTCTCTCAGGCACTTTTAAATGCTTTTCTTTGACGTCAGCACCCATTTTTGCTTGTGTCTTAGTGATAGAGTCAAAAGTGAGACCCCGAGTCAGAGAGGTATTATGAGATACACTGCTGGGATTTGTTTCCACAGTTACACATGCTGCAAGTTCATTTATGGATCCTCCCATTGTAGTCAAGGGAGTGGTGGTTCTGGTTTTGGGGCTGGAAGTAGCCAGTGGGCCTGAAATCGCAGAAACACCTGAAAGTGAGAAATAAATATTAGCTCATATATATATGAATTGCATAAAAAGCATAAATTATTATTATTATTATTATTATTATTATTATTATTATTATTATTATGCCCAATTTTTTTCTTATATTTTTTTCCAATAACCACTTGGATATTTAAAAGTAAATTCATCTCAGTGCTGATTTTGTGACCTTTCAGCATTATTGTTGTAATTCTAGTTTTGGGCTGTGACTTAATTGTTTCTTCTCTTTTTCTTTTGATTACACTGAAATGAAACATTGCTGTCAAATATAAACTAATATAACTAAAAACAAAAGAAACTTCCCAATGAAAAACCTTCTACAATGCATACACATAGTATTTTTTTAACAGAAAAAAGATGCTTGATGCTTGATTAATTGTCCATTGTATTGGATTTTTGTCAGGTTTTTCCTTAGTACCACTTGTTTTAATAAAAATAATAATGGATTTTTGTTATTACAATCATGAATACCCAAATCTCAATTACTGTATTAAAAGCTACCTGACCTGAAAGTTTTTTATAGAATACCACACTAGAGTATTGGAGGTGGAGGTTGTACCACATTGAACCCTGACCGAAACTTATTTTGTCAAACTGATTATTACATTACAAACTCATGATCATAAGATGTCGGTTTTGCAAAATGTCTAAATGAAATTAAAAATTTAGCAGTAGTTACCTGGAGCAGAGCCAGGGCTTATCTGGGCATCTCTGTGTGGTCCAACAGGATTTGAATCAAGAGTTTTCCCAGCACAAGATCCAGGACTCCTACTTGCTGAGCCTGGTCTTGGAGACAGTGTCAAGGAAGAGGGCAAATCCCTCAAAGCTAGTTTTGAAGTAGAGTGAACAGGTCCAGACTTGGAAATGTTTGATCCAGCTTTAGGGTCTGTACCTTGTTTGGTACTGGATGCTGAAGTCTTGAGGTTGCCATCTTTGGACCCAGACAGACTGGTTCTAATGGATGATGGGGAAACAGATCTGACAAGGTCTATTTTAGAGCTAGAGTTTGTTAAAGTAGACATAGAAGTTGACCGTGTTGCCTCAGCTTTATAATTGGAAGAGGCATCAAAACTAGAAGCAGTCCCACATTTAGCAGTTGGGCTAGTTTGAAGATTGATTTTTGAATCTGGCAGAGATTTGGGATCTTGGTCATCCTTTGACCTTATGCTGGTTCTAGAGGCCCCAGCTGTCTTAGACTCTTGAGTAGTTTTGTTTGGTTTAATATCTGACATATTTCTAGAGTCAATGCTATCTCTGGAGCTCATCCCTGACTTAAAGTTGGGAGTGGCTTTTGAAGTGAAGTCATTTTTAAGATCTAAACTATCCCTAGAGTCTGAACTTGTTTTGGAAGCCGAACCACTTTTGGAATCTAAACTGTTTCTTGACCCAATCTCTGCTTTAGAATTGTGACTGGCTTTGGAATCAGTGCCAGTTTTAGAAACCAGACTGTCCTTGGACACTGTGGGTCCCTTAGAGTTTGAAATGAATTTAGAACTGGTTTTGCATCCAAAACCAGCACTCGAATCTTTACTCTCAAGGTTCTCCTTTGGTTTCGTTGTATTACTGTTTATAGTCCCGGTGGCTGTTCTCTGTGTGGATGGCTTGGGACTTACAGACGTCAATAGGGTGCTCTTGTTACTCGGAAGTGCTGATTCTCCCCTCTGACTTGGTGATTTTGTAGCTGTAGAGGATGTTTCAGAACTATGACTTCTTGAGTCATGCCCAGTTTTTGGATTTGACTTGCTGGTTATGCTCGCTGGAGTTTGGTTGACTTCCACTATTGGTATTTGATTTGCCAGTTTTGAGCTGATAGCCTTTGCCTCTGCTTTCTGGTTAGGAATTTGGGGGCTTGCAGGTAGGTGTAAAGTTTGTGGCGAAGGTGTCTTGATCACTTTCCCCCCATCCTCTTTTTGGTTTGACTGCATACTTAGACTGACTGTTATTTTATTTGTAGTCTTTGTGGTTAGTCCACCTGTCAGAGATTTTGTAGTGTTCAGGCTCTGTATTTTTATTCTTTCAGTACTTTTGGGGATGCTAGCCATTGTTGTTTGCTCCATCTGCTGTGGTTTTAGACTTGTGTGCATCTTGGTGCTAAGTCCTGGGGCATGTTTGATATTTGCTGATTTCAGCAGTTGCTCATCTTTGCATCTAACCGTTGGTTTAGCTGTTGGTGAACGAGACAAAGCAGGGATTTTGCTTTTTAGCCGTGATGGGTCATCTCTCTCTTCTGGTGATGTCACAGTGGGTGTAAGGATGCTTGCTGACATACTTACTGCTTCTTTCACCCCAGGTTTTTCACCTCCTTTGGTCACATTATCCTTTTTCTGTCCCCCATGCAGCTTTGAGGACTCGATGAATGCGCGGGGATTGCTTGGTGAGGTAAGATTGAGGTTAAGGTTAAAGTTAGGTTCCAGTTCAAGTTTTGTATTAGCATCTATGTTGCAGAGATTGTCTTCAAGCCCATCCTCCCTTGTAACTGGACCTCCTGATTGGATGATATCTCTCTGTCGTTTTAAAAGATTTTTTGAGGTTTCCATGATAATAATGATGATGATGGTTACTGTGTATCCAGTAGAAATAAGGAGCAATTTCTGTGATATTTTTCAGTTGATACTGAGAACCTGACGAGACAGATGGATAAAGAGATGATTAAAAACAATAAGCCAAGCAGAGGCTATAGATGATGCATGTTTGATTGAAAGATAGCGGTCTCACTAGGCAAAAGTATTCAAAAGTTATTGACATAATATTATGAAAAAGTGACACACAACAAGAAAAAATGCCCCCTCACACAAAGGAGTAAAGACTTCAGATTAGTAGTTCAGCCCTGTCTGGCAGCTATTTTCCGCCAAACACATGAATTCTCATGAGACCCAGTTTCACTCACGTTTGCATTTTCCCTCCTGTGCTTGACACAGGCATCCATAGTCATGACTAGATTTTAAAAAGGAAATACAAGCGACCTGCTGTTTCAAAAAAAAGTTCTGTACATATAATGAAACTAACTGAGACAAAACTGAAAGGAGTCACATATTTATAACATTACAATTACACTTAAGTTGACATTTTACAGCTTTTTCCTGGTTTTAAATAGAACTACTAATGTATTACAAAAATATCAGGCAAGTCTTGATATAAATAAAAATATAATTAAAGAGCAAGCAATAATTTAAGCATTTTAAAGTCACTCATGGGTATGACAGAAAGTTGTCACTGGAATATTACTGCAGGCTTGTAATATATTTCCTTCATACCTGTTTAGGATCCACATACATCACTGTTGGTTGACAAAGGCATGGTAAATGTTCGACAGTCCACCGCTGCAGACTCCCAAAGTGGAGAAAAAGTCTTCATCTGGTTCCCCGCTTCTTTCTCCTCAATGCTCTACCAGAGGAGGCACCAATGAATAAATTACAAGAGGAGGGAGCAAGGAAGCAGAGAGGAGAACGCAGGGGCTAAGAAAAAAAGAAAAACATTATCACACTCCCCTTATCCCATTTTTCTTCTGTCATGGATTTGTCTTCAGATGTACTCCACCATTTGATTCTATGCTTAAGACCTCCTCCTCAATTTGTAATTCCCTCTTCTTTTTTTAGGTTTTCCTTGTCTGTTTTTCCTGTCAACCACCCAATATTTTGAGCGCAATCTATGCCATGAAAACGTAATGCAGTGTTAAAGGCAAAAAAAGGAAGTCTAAGCCTGTACTTGTCATGGTCCTGGGTCTGTGACCCAGGGTTTTGAGTTTTGGGAATGTTTGCGAGTTTTCTTGTTTGTTACCCTTATGTTATAGTTTTGTATTTTGTATCACTGTCATTAAGGATTTTGTGATGATATTAAGGTCAAGTTTGGGTTTCAGGCTTTTATAGTTTCTTATAGTTGTCATGTTGCTATGCTCAGTATTTGTATTTTCTGTTCTTAGTCTTGTTATCTAGTCTTTAGGTGTCTGGATCTCTGTTTCTGTATTTAAGATAAGATAAGATAAGATAAGATAAGATAAGATAAGA